TCCTTTTGCCTCATGCTGTCTCTCTTTGCCTTCGAACTCCCCCTCCTCCCCTCAGTGTCTTCGTCAACACACAACCACTTGCATTTATACGTTTATCTCTTCACGCAGGATAGCGCCTAAGAGCGCCCCCCACACACCCTTAAACTCTCCTCCCTCCTCATTGCCCTCTCGGCTGTCTCCTGCTGCTGTAGTTTCGTTGTGCAACAAAGAAGGACATTTTGTGGGTGTGGGTTACACAGGCAGACAACTGGCGGGGGAGACTGGGGGGGGGGGGGGGGGAGGGAGAGGGGAGAGAGAAGAGAAAGTATTATGGTCACTGTTCCTAACACACTGAAAGGCACCTGTTGTGACATTTACTCAGCTGGCGCATTGACTATCTATAGTCCCCAAACGTGAGGCAGAGGGGGAAAGGCTCGAGCTCAGATCTCAAAAGCTTTTTGAACTCCTCTGGATGAGTCTCTGACCGTTCGCCTCGACGGGAACGGAAAAGAAAACGCCCTCCGCCTTTGCCGACAAACAAAACAGACGCTACGCTCGACAGAAATCACTGTAAAAGCTCTCGGCGATGTTCCGACGTGGTAAAGACGAGCGTTGGTGAAAATACAACTTTTTTTTGCTTTGTTCTTCCTATTTAGCTGCGGTTTGCTCCGATTTAAGAATTATGTTTTCCCAGTGACACCCACACACACACACAAATCATGGGGGAAGGGGAGAGGGGAGAGGGAGGAGGGGAGAGAGAGGGGGAGTGGAGTCAAGTTTTTTTTAACAGCAGCTTTTTAAAACGATTTTAAGATGTCTCGAAGCATCGTTGGTGAGAGTTTTAGCTGTTACCCCCCCCCCCTCCCCCCCGAGTCAAATCACTTTACAGTATATTCTGTGAAACGTTTTGAATCGTCTTGAAGACATGATAAGGCGCTATATCATATACAGGAATTATTATTTATAGTCCGAGTGTCCCAATGAGACATACAGACAGTGCAAGACTCACTGAGATGGTGAATAAAATATTGCCACTAGATGGAGCTTTGAACAAACGTTTTGACAATAATATTAACAATAATAATCCTTACATTTGATATAGCACCTCATAGACATCTCAAAGCACTTCACAGAATAGGCCGCAAAGTGAATTTATTGACTGTATATTTTGTGGGCGATGTATAATATATATATATAACTATTGTAGGATTAATACACATATATATATTTAAAAATACATATCCAATAAAGAAGATTTGATGGAGAAGTGCAAAGAGTGCGGGGAAAAAGGATAAAAGGAGGGGAAGGGGGGAGAGAGCGAGACACACACAAGTGTAGTGACTGTGTATTTGGTGGGCGGAACGAGGCAGCTAATTTCGCACAGCAGTGGCCCTCAAACAGCCATGGATTGAGTGACCAAATTTTTATTTATTATTTTGAAGGGATTACTTTATTATTAACAGGATTATCATCATCATAATAACAACAATGCTTGCATTTGATGCCTCGGCTTACTGCGCCGTCGAGACGCCTCAAAGCGCTTCACAAGATATATATTTGTGCGCAATCGGCTGTTGCGTGTTGCCCACAAAATACACAGTCACTACCCTTGACAGTATATTCTGTGAACGGCTTTGAGACATCTCAAAGACGTGATGAGGTGCTATATCAAATGCAAGGAATAATATTGTATATTATTGCATTATCACTATATTATTATATACAATTGTAATATTGTTATATCATTATTATTGTATTATCATTATGTATAATTTTATATTATTGTATTGTTATTACTATATATTACATTATACTATTAATATTATATTATTAGAATATATTATTATTGTATACCTATATACTGATACCAGTGTGTGGTTAGTGAGTGAGTTATTATTATTACATTATTATTGTATTATAATTATATTAGTATATTATAATTATATTAATATTATATTATTATTATTGTATACCTCTACACAAATAGCCAGTGTGTGGTTAGTGAGTGAGCGAGTGAGTGAGTGAGCACTAGTAGTTGTTGTTGTGGCTAGGGTCCAGTAGTAGTAATCGTTGTTGTGGTGGTTGGGGACCAGCAGCAGCAGTAGTTGTTGTTGTTGTTGTGGTTGGGGGCAGTAATTGTAGCTGTTGTTGTTGTGGCTGGGATCTTGTTGTTGTTGTTGCTGGGATCCTGTTGTTGTTGTTGTTGTTGCTGGGATCCTGTTGTTGTTGTTGTTGTTGTTGTGATCCTGTTGTTGTGGCTGGGATCCTGTTGTTGTTGTTGTTGTGGCTGGGATCCTGTTGTTGTTGTTGTTGTTGCTGGGATCCTGTTGTTGTTGTTGTTGTTGTGATCCTGTTGTTGTGGCTGGGATCCTGTTGTTGTTGTTGTTGTGGCTGGGATCCTGTTGTTGTTGTTGTTGTGATCCTGTGGTTGTGATCCTGTTGTTGTTGTTGTTGTGGCTGGGATCCTGTTGTTGTTGTTGCTGGGATCCTGTTGTTGTTGTGATCCTGTGGTTGTGATCCTGTTGTTGTTGTTGTTGTGGCTGGGATCCTGTTGTTGTTGTTGTTGTTGCTGGGATCCTGTTGTTGTTGTTGTTGTTGTGATCCTGTTGTTGTGGCTGGGATCCTGTTGTTGTTGTTGTTGTGGCTGGGATCCTGTTGTTGTTGTTGTTGTTGTGGCTGGGATCCTGTTGTTGTTGTTGTTGTGGCTGGGATCCTGTTGTTGTTGTTGTTGTGATCCTGTGGTTGTGATCCTGTTGTTGTTGTTGTTGTGGCTGGGATCCTGTTGTTGTTGTTGTGGGGGTGGGGGCTGGTGTGTGTGTGTGTGGTGTGTGTGGCGGGGGTTAGGGTTAGTGTTGGGGGGTGTGGTGTGTGTGTGGGGGGGTTGGGGTTAGGAGTGTGTTGGGGGGTGTGGTTGGGGGTGGTGGTGTGTGTGTGGGGGGGGTTAGTGTTGGGGGTTGGGGTGTGTGTGTTGGGGGGGTTAGTTTGGGGGGGGTAGTGTGGGTGTGTGTGTGTGTTGGGGGGTTAGTGTGGGTGGGGGTTAGGGGTGTGTTGGGGGAGTTAGTGTTGGGTGTGTGTGTGGGGGGGGGTTAGGGGTGTGTTGGGGGGTTGGGGTTAGTGTTGGGGGGGTGTGGTGTGGGGGGGGGGTTAGTGTTAGTGTGTGTGTTGGGGGGTGTGGTGTGTGGGGGGGGGTTAGTGTTAGTGTTGGGGTGTGTGTTGGGGGTTGGGTCGGGGTGTGTGTGGGGGGGTTAGGGTTGGAGGGTGTGTGTGTGTGGGGGGGGGGGGTTAGGGGTGGGTGGGTGGTGTGTGTGTGAGGGGGGTTGGGGGGGGCTGTGGGTGGTGTGTGTGGGGGGGTTAGTGTTGGGGGTGTGTGGGGGGGCTGTGGGTGGTGTGTGGGGGTAGTGTTGGGGGCTGTGGGGGTTGGGGGGGGCTGTGGGGGTGTGTGGGGGGGTTAGTGTTGGGGGGGGTTGGGGGGGGCTGTGGGGGTGTGTGGGGGGTTAGTGTTGGGGGTGTGTGGGGGGGCTGTGGGTGGGGTGTGTGTGGGGGGTTAGTGTTGGGGGGGTTGGGGGCTGTGTGGTGGTGTGTGGGGGGTAGTGTTGGGGGGTTGGGGGGGCTGTGGGTGGTGTGTGGGGGGTAGTGTTGGG